ACAAAGCTCGCTTCGAGGAATTGAAATTAAGGAGTGGTGCCGCAAACAGGAACCATTTTCAAAACAATTCCCCGACAAAACTTGACGTGCCTTTTCCTCTGCTAGAAAAAAGGAGCAAATTCTCAGACGTGAATAAGAAGCGGATAGCAGCTGCGCCTACCAACGATACCAAATTGAATCAAGCATCTAACAAAGTGGATGCTACTTTGGAAAAAACAAGGAAATCTGTCTGGTTTGCACCAAATGTTGACATTTCTCCCGATGATAATAAGACTCGTCAGCTAGCCTCGGACGATACAGAGGAGGATGTCAGTGGGCTCCAAGTTAAAACCTGCAAGAATGCAAATGATAATTTTGACAAAAATGAAGCTGAGCAGTCGAGTGACCTTGAAAAAATACAGCATGAACATAAGGCCAATGTTGAGCAAAGTCCAGGCATGCTACATCGCGAGGGTAAAAAAGATGCACTTCTTGGTGACTCGGGCGATGAGGTCAAAGAAAATTTGACTCGTGTGACAGAAGAGTCATCTGATAAACTGGACGTAGAGTTGGAAAAAGCAAATCCTCTCACAAAACCAACTGAAACGCTCTCAGAAAGTGACGGACGTAAGGACGACAGTACCGCGAAACGGGTTCTTGCAAAAACAAATTCTCCTGTGAGTTCTGCGAAACAGACCGACAGGTCAAAGGTCAGACTAGGATCTTGGTCAAAAGGAAGAAGCGCTTTGTCAAAGCTCTTTGCTGCCCGTGGCACTGAAAAAAATAGCAAGACCGAAGCAAAAAGTGTCCAGAAAGCAGAGGAGAAGCCCGATGTTGAACTCCCGGGAAAAGTCGTCCAGTCATCCTCAGACCAGAATGAAGACGCCACAAAATTGCCGACATTTGACAATGAATGTAAAATGAGCACTGAGGATGAGAATACCCGTGAAGCCGAAACCATCCGAGTCAAACCTCAGGACGGTGACTCAAACACGCTTGAGGGGATGATTCGCGCAGAGCCAGAGCTCCCAACGAGCCAAACAAGTGAGGACCGAATGGATCTCGTCCAAACAGACACCAGCGAGCAAGATTCAAATGCCACAGATGACAGGAGCAGAGAGACGAGACCCCGATCGCTGGCCGATCCTGAGACGGAGGACCGCATTGGTCTTTCATCCACGGACAGGCACGACTCTCCGGAGTCGACGGATGAACTGCCCGTTGAACCCAACGGAGTTCTGGCTGCCAGTTCTGTCGCTGCTGATCCGCCATTTCCTGGGAACAATCAAGATAAAGATGAGCTCGATGATGCGACAAAACCAAAAGACAGAAATATTGAGCACAACGGATTTCTAGACGGTATTGAAGAGGCGTCGCGAGCCAGTCCGAATCCTCTTGATCAGTTCATTTCCCAGGAGTGTTTGGAGGAGAACCCCGTGGAGGTGATGCTTCCGGTCGCTAACGATGCATCCTCTGAGACGTTTAGCCTGCTTGACACTCAAACGGAATCAACCCACACTGAAGTGCTTGAACCGGTCGAGCAGCAAGCGACCGCCATCAGTCGGGCCGACGATCAAGGCCTCGCAACTTTGACCTCGAACAGCGTGACGTGCACTCAAGAGTCGGATTTTGACTTGTTCAGCCCAAACAGCCGTTTGCTTAGCGACCAACAAGCTGTTTGCGGCCCACCGGTCAGCATCCTTGATGATATCTTTGCAGCGGGCGAAATGCCAGCGAGTGCCGAGCTTCTCGATGCCGGTCCGCCGAATGGGCTGTTGGAGTCGGAGACAAAACCCGCCGCTGTTCCGTCAGATCTTTTCTCTCTTGACATCTTTGCGTCGGGGACACAGTTGCTGCCAATGTGTCACGACTCAAGTGATGTATCTTCACCTTTGAAGTGCGTCATGGAAAAAAACAACACCGAACAAAGTGAAGAGAATGATGTGAACAACAGTAAGTGGATGGATGACTTGTTCGGATAAGAGCGGCGCTCAAACGGGATCACTGTTGTCCATCTCATTGTTTTTTACGTTTTCTTTTATTTTTTAAAACAAGGGTTTTCTCAAGAGAAACAAAACATTCTGATTTACATCTCCAATTACGTTGTGAAATATAAACTGCGCTCTGGAAGAAAATGATTCACAATTTGTTCACTTTACATTCTTTTAGATACTGTTTATCATGATTTCGTTTGAACAAATGCAGTTGAGCTCAGTGCAGTTTGGGATTCTAGTTGCGAGCAAGGAAGTACAAATTCATAAAAATTTTGTGAAAATTACTGGTCTTGAATGTACCGTATCATTCCCGTTTGTAATAATCTAGCTACCATATGCTTAAGCATTCCACATTTCAATCAAACTTTTTTTTCGACCCTCGTGCAGGGTTTATGATGTCATCGTGGTCATTGGAGGTCACTTCAACATGTGTTTTCAACTTGAAGTCACTCTATGTTCATGGTAGTACCACAATGGAAATAAACAAAGAATGGATCATGTGAACAAAGATATTTTGCCATTGTTGAGGAAAATAATTTTCGTATTATCATAAAAAAACGTGTGCGGGGCTCCAGACTACAATTGCATGTGTGACTAATGAATAAATTTGCTTCTTCATTTACTGAATTCTTCAATATTAGTGCTACTGTTGCTGACCAACTTCTGCTCCACACTTATGCACATTTATCAGTAGTATCGTAAAAATGAGTGAAATATGAATATTTACTTGACAACTGAATTTGTGATTCATTTGCGCCCCTAAATTTTCAAGTTAGGGCCCACAGTGCCCCCAATAAAATGAAGGTAACCCACAGCCGTGACTTAATCTTTGGTTTGAAGACTGTTCCGTTGAAAAAAGAGATTCTAATGTAACACTGCAGTAATCGTATACTGTTTTGATTTATTTGTTTCGTTTTTACTTGTGTTTTTCTCTCTGTTCATACTTGTGTCTCTGTCTCTCCGCTATCATACCGCGTTCTGTCTGCCAGCAATTTCAATAAATAGCCATCACAACACAAATTACCATAGATGCAGGGAGAATATAACTCCCCTGTTGCAGAGAAAACTGATCCTCCATTTTGCATGACCGAGCGGCCGAGCAGGACGTTTTTCTCTCTGTTCATACTTGTGTCTCTGTCTCTCCGCTATCATACCGCGTTCTGTCTGCCAGCAATTTCAATAAATAGCCATCACAACACAAATTACCATAGATGCAGGGAGAATATAACTCCCCTGTTGCAGAGAAAACTGATCCTCCATTTTGCATGACCGAGCGGCCGAGCAGGACGAATTAAAAATAAATAAATAAATAAATAAATAAATAAATAAATAAAAGAAGAGCAGCAGACAGGGTTACAACATGAACCATTCTGCATTTAATGATTGACATAAACAGTAACTTCAGTAACTTCACATAAACATTAGAATATAAACACATTGAAGTATTAAATAAAATACAATTGACTATGACACATTGTAGGTCCCCTAAAGTGAAAATGTCCATGCAAAAAGCAGGACTGATCACATTAGTTTGCAACAAGGAATTCTACTCTTGTCCGTGCATCAACACCCTCCAAGTTGTAAAAGCCGGAAGGGTGTTTAGTACATCGGCCTTTGTTGTGTGTGTGTGTGTGTGTGTGTGTGTGTGTGTGTGTGTGTGTGTGTGTGTGTGTGTGTGTGTGTGTGTGTGTGTGAGCGTGTGTATTGACAGGCATGTCGCCTGTGTATGTGTCACCTTGCCCTCATCATGGTAAATATCGCAGCTGTAATATTTGACATGTGAATGAATTGAAATTAATAGAAGTGAATATATTACAGTTTACTTGATTTGATGTGGATAACATTTGAGTCACTCTCTTTCTTTGTTGCCTTCTTGCTCCTGCAAAAAAAAAAAAAGGAATGAAACAAGCATTAGTGATTGTAATACGTCATTGTTGTGGAGTCCATTCAAATCCCGTGACAATGAATATAGTTTTGTAGTCAGTAGATAGCAAGCATGGACATAACATCGGTCGATAGCTATCGGATCATATTTTCTTGAAATTGTTGACCTGTTGCTTTCAGCCTCATCAAACGAATCTGGCAGCTCTTTCCCCCGTGTCTCAGGAAGTATGAAGCAGAGACCCCCACTGAGCAGTGTGAGGCCACTGAAACTTATGACGGGTATGGACCAGTGGTACATAGCCAACATGTTGACCAATGGAGCAATAAGACCACCGGCTCGACTTGCGATGGAGCCCACCCCAGAAGCAGTTTGTCTGAAGCCAGAAAAGCAGGAATTCAGTCTTACAAATGTCCAGTCACGGTTTTCGCTGGAGTCACTACTCATCACTCAACAAAACATTTCCCCCTCAATATATTGATTTTATGATGTGTATTGAAGTGGTATGAGGTGTGACAGTACAACATGACTGATGAGAGAAAGTGGAAGGGTGATTGTCTTACCGACAAGATGTTGGGAATAACTCTTGAACATAAACATTGCATATGGTTCCAGCCCAATTGATGATAAAGCGTCCTGAGGTGGCCAATACGGTAACAGCAACATTATTTCCTTAAACAGAAGAAGTCAAAATCTGTTTATCGAGAATACTCAGAATCAAACATAAGACAACAACAATAATAATAATAATAATAATACATAAATACATCAAATTAATGAAAATGAAAAGTTGGTTATTTCGATTAAAAATGTATTATATTTAATGACATAGCAGACATATTATTGCATTTGGGCCTAAACTGTTCCAATTATTATTCTTATTTTTAATAAGAATGCAACTTCTGCCTCACCCTGATTAAAAGTGAGTATCAACATACACAAGACGCCTCCAACCAGAAGTGTTGAAATGAAAGATACTCTTCTGCCCAGCGCTTCCAATAGCCAGACGCAAACCAGATGAACGGGTATTTCAGTCACTCCAAATATAAGCTGTGTCAGAAAGACGTCCAAGCCAAAATTGCCCACATTGAATGAAATGCAGTAGTATGCAACATTCACTGAGAACCTGGAGAAAAGAAAAAATAATAATCAGTGTGCGAAAAAGGCCCAAACAACACCCAAATATAACATCAATTACTTTATATGGTTAAATGAGGTCGGCACAGTGGGGATGGGGTAGCACGTCCGCCTCACAGTGCAGAGGTGCAGAGTTCGATTCCAGCTCCGGCCTTCCTGTGTGGAGTTTGCTTGTTCTCCCTGTGTCTATGTGGGTTTTACATGCAAACTCCACACAAGGAAGGCCGGAGCCGGAATCGAACCCTGCACCACCGCGCTGTGAGGCAGACATGCTCGCCGGTCGCCCAACAAATTACTTTTTATGGTTAACTAGTAAAGGCAGGTCTTAATTAGTGTTAAATGTTCAGTTTTACTTACCATGTAAATAATATGGCAAATAAATATTTCCGGAGCACTGGTGATTGGATAAGCATTAAAATGTTGCTCTTTTTCTCTGTTTCTTTTACCGCAATCTGTAACGCACACAAAAACAACATGATTCCTTCTTTGACAATGTAACAAGTCATCAGTCCGACACATTTTTTGGTTAGAACGCCACCAAAGTTGCTTTAACGAACGAGTAATTCTTTGTGGATGTCATTTTGCCATATGTGTATGGGAGACCGGGGCTTGTTGTCACATCGCAATTATCTTCTCAGCCAGAAGCCTCAGCTAAAAAAATGGAATACTACTTTTCTTTTTGCACAGCCCAAAGTAAAAAAAACAAAAAAAAAACCAATGTTAACTTTATGTTTTTAAAAAAAGCTTCTTCCAGATGACAACCTGAGCAGTGACACAGGAGGACTTGTTTACATAGTACAGTCATTGTTCTGTTTTAAAATAACTTTAAACTCGTGTTAGCTAGGTAGCTAGCTAGCTAGAAAGATAGCTAGATAAATAGCTAGCTAGCTAGTTAGCTAGACAGATAGATAGAGAATGTGTAATCAAAACAAAAATATTTATTGATAAAGAGAAATCCAACCGGTTGACGCCACTTCCGCAGTGACTCGACCACATGTGGTCTCAAATGCGTTACAGGATTAGTAACCAGAATAGTATTGTCAAAATAACTTACTTTACCTTACATTAATTTGATGTTGCCTCAATGTAGTGTTACAAAGTAATGTGTTACGTCGGCAATGTGTTATTCCCAACACTGTTAATGGCACACTTGCCATGTTATTTATTTGCTCTTGACTGCTTACCGGACCGCAGAATTTCTCAATTGAGATAGTTCTATTTCTTCAAAGCATTCTGCAAAGCAGCATTGAATAGTACCTAGACACCTCACAGACTGTAATTGGGCCAGTGTCTAAATAGTCATCTTGGAAAAGAGTCAGGCCAATACTTGGTACGACGTCTGTTCAATAAATATGACCAGAATTTCTTGTCTGTGTGGTCAGACCGAGTTCGGCCCAGCTATGAATTCTGACTGACCTGAAGCTCACGCTGTTGCCGGGCTTTGTGTTGGGTGTTTGTGTCATAAGTTTCTCAAGTTTTTCACCCCAAGAAAAATGAGAGTTTGCAGCCAAAGCCTCAGTACCTTTTCCAGGAGAGTTTCTGAAAATCTGCGTTTATTGATAGACGCCACCTTGAAAAGCAATTCTTTGGCCTCCTCTGTCCTGCCTCTCTCCAACAACCACCTGGCTGACTCTGGAAGGAACCTGATTGTTCCGTGAGAATATTGTGTTCATTATCATAAGTTATTCAAAGTGTTGTAGAAATGTTTGATGCTCACCATATATAAACGACAATGACACCAAGTAGAGCTGCAGTGATCAACTGAGCTACTCTCCAGTCTCTGACAACGTAAATCAGACCAGCAAGGACGGCCTGTCCAACTGCACCACATAGTTGAGTTGCCGCCACCCCCCATGACCTCTTGGATGCACCGATCCACTCAGTGGCTGTCAGAACGGAGAAACAAAGTGGATTCATAACGTTTGCCAGGCATCTCCATCGGAAGACTGGTGAGGTAAGAAGGACGGCTCCGAAAAAGAAAAGTGTCTTCCAATCACTGATCACAACATCAGCAGTAATTGCACAATCTACTCAGCAATACACTATACACTATAATACAATACGATGCAATTCACAGCTTTCAGAAGTTCCCAAAATAATCAACTTTTTTGGAGGTTGGATGCATGAATATAACTTCCATGTCTTCAGCTCACTTCATACACAAATTACTGGCGTAGATCAACATGCAGCTGGACGTAAATGAAAAGTGGAATGATGCATGCATATAAGTATGATCTGACTGAATATCCAACTTCAAATTTGCATCAATAGAGAAATGGGTCATGATCACCCAAAAAAAAAAAAAAAAAAATCACAATACTTCACCCAGTATGATGCCATTTAGCCGAAAACCTCCATAGCCAAGGCCCATCAGAAACTGGGATATCAGATACAAGAGATAGTTGGGGCACAATGCAGTGGTGACAGTAAAAATGAGGACTACGACCAGTGGAATTTGAGCTGCTCGTTTGCGGCCGAACCTGGAAAACACAAAACCCATTCAGGATAGAACGTCGTGTCATTTGGGAGACCGATTTTTTTTCTTATACATACTTACGATTCAGCAAAAGGTCCGAATAAGAGGCAGCCAAGCAAAATGCCAGACATCATCACTGTTTGTGCCACTTGAAGTAAATTTGCCCGGTCACATACGAGATCAAACTGTAACAACAAACGTTATTAAAAAAAAAAAAATATATATATATATA